TATTTTATTGTATTGATTTTCTAATCTTTTAAATTAAAATTCATCTGCCTCATTTTAGTTGGATTTTATATATATATATATATATATATATATATATATATATAATACACACACACACACACCTCTACTGGGAGCGCCAATAAGGAGAATGATTTTGTTTAATGCTACTTTTAAAAATAAGGCATTCTTCATCACATTTTTTATGATGATTTGCCTTGTGTGTGCCATTAAATCAGAAATCATTACATCACAATGGATGAAGAATAAACATAATAATTGGCTGAAGACAGAAAACGGTTGCTTTATTACAGCAAACTGATAAATGACTGCAGAAAACATTTTCTCATTTGTTTTCTGTACAGTCTCTGACTGCTTTTATCTGTATGGAAAGCTTTCATGTCTCACAGGCTCTTTTAGAAATAAAAGACCTGTGACCTGTGGTTTAAGATGTTTAAACATGGTTTAAACATCTTAAAACCATGTTTAGGATGTTTAAACATGGTTAAAGCATCTTTTTTAATCCGTCTGTTAAAGGGAAAGCACATTGTTATGTCTTTGGTTGTCGCAGGTGTGGGTGTCCCTGGACTTTACCAAGGAGGAATTGTACCAGGAACTGGTTTGTTTTCACTCTCAGGAAATATTTACCACAATCCATGAGATTTTTATTCTGAGATCGTCATGTTTATATGTCTGTTTTCTTTCCTGCAGGGTTTGGTGGCCGTGGAGTTCTGCCTGGGGTCGCTACTGGAACAAACCTAAATCCCAAATCAAGTGAGGTTAAGATTTTGACTATGTGTTGAGTGATTTTGAATTTTGAAACATGCTGCAATGTGAAACACAGTCTTTACAAAATCAACACAATTCAAAATCAAATTAAATGTAAAGCATATTCAGCTTTTGGGAAAAGTAATTGCATATAACCATAAGAATATCTGATTTCTTTATACAGTTGGAGGACAACAGGGAGGCCAAGTCCCAGGTTGATTTTAAATATGTGTATTTATATTATTATCAAGTTGTTTATATTTTGATGTCAGAATTAAAGTTCTCCTTCCGTCTCTGTCTCAGGAACCAGAGGGTTTGGTGGGCCAATGCAGCCCGGTGTATTTCATGGTTACCCCCTCAAATCTCCCAAAGCACAAGGTGCTTTTAGATGCTCCTTTAAAATGAAATGTTTAGTTTGTTGTTTACTTGATGTGTAATATTTTCAATGTTGAGTTTGTTCATATTAAGGAGTAAAATGGAAAAATACTAAAAGAGTTGAATAATTATTTATGTTTTGCGCCACACATTGCTGACTTTGAGTCATGAAGTTTATATTTTGTCCTCTAGGGGGCTATGGTGCTAAGCCTGGAGGTGGCAAAGTTCCCTATGGTAAAAATATATAAGTTTACACAGACTTGATATCAGATGAAAAGCAGCCATTAATTATGCGTCACACGACGATCATAACAATCTACGATCTAGGTTACGGGGGTTATGGCGTTGGTGGAGCTGGACTTCCAGGAGGAAAAGCTGGTCCTGGATCAAAACCTGGCTATCCTGTCGGAACTGGTAAATATTTCAGGAAATTGAGAGAAATATTTCTCTGAAGGTGGACAGAACTACAAAATATCTCTTTCTCTTTGTTTTCTATAGGAGTGGGGCCTGGAGGCATCTTACCTTCTCAATCTAAAGCTGCTAAATATGGTAGGATTTCCTGCTTATCATGTTTCAGATTCGTCTTGTCCTTAAAGCAGACAAAAAATATGAACAATTGAAGCATCTGTTTGTCTCTTCAGGTGCTGGCGTCGGAGGCGTCGGTGGTGTTAGAGGCGTCGGTGGCGTCGGAGGCGTTGGTGGACTATATCCAGGGCAGGTGCCAGGAGGTATTAACATGTAGCAGTTGGAATAAATACCAAATGATCTTCCTACTCTTTGTGCAAACTCTGATTCACAAAAGCTTAAATGTTTAAAATAGTAGATGACGAGACCAGACATGAGGTTCTTCAGCTCATATGACACCATTCCTGATGTTTCCATGTATGTTGTACCAAAATGCACAAGGTAAAGTTTGTGCAACATGAAGTCCTGTCACGTGTTATTAGATGTATTTGGGTTGCTTACATTGGTTGCACCATGTTTTGTATAGTGCTTGTGTATTGGGATGAAAGGTGTAAAATTCTAAGATTTGTACTATATAAGGACGCGGCGCGGTTTATTTTTTCCATGTTTACACTTTAGCCAACCATCTGCGTATGAAAGTTCAAAACCTTATCAACCTTTTTCCCCTTCAAAAGGTGAATTATTAATTCGTATCAGAATTAATTTGATTCTTTATCGGTGCAGACAGTGTCATACTACAGTATGAAAGTGAAGGCAATGTTATGGTTTGAGACTTTGCTGTGATATGCGAGTAGCACCGTGTTGCGATACGGTAATGGTTTTCTTTTTGTTATACCTCCATCTCAACATTGTTACCTTCCACAGTATGACGGTGCTGTGGGTATTGCACATTTGTGCCACTGGTACAGCATTTATACAAGCACCACTTGGACATCAGAGAGATAACCCAATAATAATGTCACTTATTCTTTGGCTGTTCTCTGTAGATACTCTTTCTTCACTGATGAAGATTCCCCCCATGCATTTCAGCATTCCTAAAGCTCGAAGAGTCTGTATTCTGCTAAATTAAGCCAGTAATGAATTATTTGGCTATCTGGAGTCAGAGTTTGTAGCAATGTAAACTTAAGTTTACACTTCACTCATCTCCACGTCTTATTCACAGGATATGGACCTGGGTCCAAGGCTGCTAAATATGGTGAGAACTCTCAGCTGTCTTTCTTATTTGGTGAATTAAAATGAATGAAAATTCTCCCTCTTTGTTTTATTGACATGTAATTAATTATATTGGCAAAAATATAATTTACTAATCAAATATTGTGCCATGCACAGTGAATTTTAAAAATATTATGCTGAAATTAGGTTTTTCCACAACTGTTTCCTGTACCAGAGACCAAGGATGATTATCAAAGCTGTAGGAAATGATAAAGATGCTGAGTATGGAGGCACATTTAATGTACCAGTTGTTATCGGTCCTCTCTTGATAATCAGTCTGACGGAGAAAAGGGAGCCATCTTACTACTTGGTTTACAGAACGCAATTAAATGTACATATTACAAGAGTTTGCACATAATTTTAATTATTTTACCTAACTTCATTTTAGGACAAGTTGGTAGATATTTTTTTATAACTGGAAGGAGAGGATTTATTCAATGCATGCCGACATTCAGCCATTCTAGGAAAGACCAGACAAGAATGAATTCATTTCTAAAAGCTTTCTAAGTTCTAAACTTGCAAACCAAGATAAATATGTCTAAATACACAGTTTCTAGTAACAGCATCTGGATCATTAATATTATAATAATATGGTTTAATAATGTTAGGAGCACAATCAGTAAAATGAAATGTTCTTCTTAGTTCACTTTTATGTTAAAACTAAGGACTTCTGCAAATCATTTTTGCAGAAACTATGAAAAGTCTAAATAAAGTCATAATTCAGAGTGTCCATATTGTTACAAGGGGTACCAGGAGGAGTACCAGGAGGAGTACCAGGAGGAGTACCAGGAGGAGTACCGGGAGGAGTACCGGGAGGAGTACCGGGAGGAGTACCGGGAGGAGTACCGGGAGGAGTACCGGGAGGTGCACCAATTGGAGTACCAGGGGGAGGTGGATACCTCCAACCAGGAAAAGCTGCCAAATATGGTAATTTGTTATAATATAGTAATTTAAAGCCTCGGGCTTCAGGAGGTTGAGGTATTGAAGGAGGATGAGTTTAGGTCTCTGAGGTCAAACATCCAAGGCAACAATCAGTACAAATGTGAAATATGTTAGATTTGAATCCCAGCTGGAATACTCTGGGTGTGTCCGCTCATTCATCTTTGGAGGCACCAACATCCAGTTCTACTTGTTTACTCAAGAATATCTACAATCAGTTTTCATAGTTTTGCTTCAATCTCAGAGCCAAATATTGCCCACTAATTTATTTATTGCAAATGAAATATAAATATGTAACATCTGTTGAACTGAAATGCATGCAGCCTGTATTCCTCTGCTGATTAAAGATCATGCCTGAAACAGTTCTGAGCTAATTCTCTTCAGTTTTTAGGAAATGCTTTACTTGATTTTGTTTTTTCACTTTGTTAAATATGAAGCAGCGTTCTTTAATCACAGAAAGTATGTTGCTTTCACCATAAAACGGCTCTGTGAACATTTTGTTTTCAGAAAAAAAAATCAAACTGTTGATCTATTCATGCCTCACTCTCAACCTGACGGCTTTGTTTTTATTCTAAAGTTTGAAGATGGCCCGTTTTACTCGGCTCTGAAAACAACTGAATGTTGTGGGTTCACTGCGCCAGAAAAAGGCCTAATCAAAGCCCACACCGGATCCTGTAATAAATGTTAGTTTTGTTTGGACTGTTCAGCCAATGAAAATAATTTTTTTAGACATTTATTAATATTTTAAACAACCTCCACAAGTTAGGTTTGAAAAAACTTAGAGCAGAGTTAGCATTTTGGCCACATAATTGATATATTTCAATATCGGTCTCTTTGTGCAACTGAAAAAGTGCGAACAAATAAATATCTGAGCTTAGTTCTATGTACATCTTGAATGCAATGTCTGCTTCTTGCACATCTTACTTTACAATAATTAAAGTTGCTTAATTTTACCTTTCAACTAATCATTTTTATCTGCAAATAAAAAGTTGTCAAATAGTCAATGGTGTTATTTTTACAGGCCCATTCTTAGATAAGCGTGAACATGACTTCCTACAGCCATTAGTGAATATATCATCCTAATACACTTTTAAAAATAATTTTAAAATACAAAACCTTTGAAAACCTTTGATACACTTGTGCTCTTTTGAAATATAAGAGCTAGATGTTTTCTGATTTCAGAAGTTTTTTAATCTACTCTTTTCAAAATAAGCAAAGCCGCTTCCTTCAGGTTTCATCCCAGAGCCAGAGTGGTTGTCTAAATTCAATAACATGACTCCCTTATCCTGCTGAGCTGTATGAGTGAGAATATATGTGTGTGTGTGTGTGAATATATGTGTGTGCAAATGTTGTTAAAAGCCACAACATGTGCAGATAATTCATAATTCACTTTGATGGCACATTTTTAATTATGGTGATCAATTGTGTTGATAAATAAATTTGTCTGCAGGACTAGGCGGAGTCGGGGCAACGGGAGTGGGAGGAATTGGAGGAGTGGGAGGAATTGGAGGAGTGGGAGGAATAGGAGGAGTTGGAGGTGGAGGATACTCTCCTGCATCCAAGGCTGCTAAGTACGGTAAGTGAAATAAAATAAGTTAAAATTATGACTGTAAAAAATACATTTTTTAATTGTTTCTATTGTGTGTTTTTCAGGCGTTGTACCAAGAGTTGGTGGAGGAGTCGGTGGTGCAGGCGTTCCTGGAACACAGTTTATACCTGGATATGGATGTAAACTAACAGATTTGTGATTTTCCTTAGCTGTAAAGCAAATCTTTTAATTTGTTAGAAGTTAGAGAAACTCAGCTCATCTTTTAATTCAACCACGTTTGTTCCGTTTCTGGTGCAGCTTTGACAGCTGGTGCCAAACCTCCAAAATACGGTGAGATCAAAGTTTCATCAAATCTCACATTAGATGCGTTCAGAAATGTTATTTGGGTAAAAAATATGAAACTGAATCTTTCATCTGTTGCGATTAACAGCTCTTCAAACAGGCCTTGGAGGAGTAGGAGTCCCTGGTGGAGCAGGACAGGTGCTACCTGGCGGTGGCTATGGTGGTACGTTAGAGATCAAGCTCAAATAAATAAAAACATAATGTGACACTTCATGTTATAAAACCTATCCTAATAAACTCAAACACCTCTGCAGGTTATGGAGGCGGTGCAGGGGTCAAACCTCCAAAGTATGGTAAGACATGATTTTTTTTATAGGTTTAGATTATTATTTAAAAAAAATAATACTAGAGTGATTCATGTTTTTCCATAATTTGGCGCTGTTTAAGGTTAGAACCAAAAGCAGTGAAAAAGGTTCAAATATAGCAAGACAATCGGTAACAACAAAAAAAATTAATTGGAACTGCTGGAAAAGTTGCAGCTGAAAGAAGCAGAATAGTTTATTTTCACATATATAAAGAAGACATTAAAATATGGTTGTCAGGCATTAATGCAGCTTGTTGTTTTGTTTTGTTAGTGAAATCTTCAAACCTCAGTCTCTATTCACCTCAAACAGGAGTTCCAGGAGGACTTGGAACAGGATTTGGATATGCAGGACTGGGAGGAGCAGGAGGAGCAGGAGGAGCAGGAGGAGGGCCTTTTGTCCCAGCAGGGGGACAATACTCTGCAGCAGCAAAAGCTGCCAAATATGGTAGAAATAATGAGCACACATGGAAATTTTAAATGAAATAAAACCAATTTTCACCTAACCCTAAATGCTTATATTTTCCGCTCATGACTGTAACCTTTTGATGCAGTACGGCTTGTTTCCATGAACTAGGAGTTGCAACAGGAGGTGCTGGAACAGGAGTGGGAGCAGGAGGAACATTAGGAGCCCAGGGAGCCGGACAATATTCTGCAGCAGCCAAAGCAGCTAAATACGGTAAATACAGTCGAAATATAAGGTACTGCCTCCTAAAAATATTACTTTTTTGTACATATCACTGGTTTTTGTGGTATGCACAGTTTTTCACCAAGGACTGTTTTTCAGTATTTCTAATTGCATAAACCTGTAAGAAGCACCGCTAGATAACGTGTGAGTTTAACTTCAGTAATCATTATAGTTCTTTGTAGTAGTTATACTTGTTAAACTTTACAGATTTTGTCATTTAAGGGAAGTTTTAGTTCACTTATAGTACCTGCTCATGATTAATTCTGCTATTATTTGCTCCTCTGAGTCAGGAGTCACAGGTGGTGCTGGGACAGGACTGGGAACAGGAGGACTGGGAACAGGAGGACTGGGAACAGGAGCACTGGGAACAGGAGGACTGGGAACAGGAGTACAAGGAGGTGGACAGTACTCTGCTGCTGCAAAAGCTGCTAAATATGGTATAAATAATGAGCACGCATGATCAATCTCAAGAAGATAGTTAGGGTATAACATTCATTATCAAATTTAATGTTTCCTGGGGCACTTATGGCATTGTGGAGGATTTCCAGTCTGGCTGCAATGAAGCAGTACTGTTAAGAGTTTTTAATGATATTTGTTTAGGAAATTACTCGGAGATCTCTGATTTTTGTACTTTTAAATCTCACTGCAGTATTTGACACTGTGGACCATTGTATTTCTATCCCTCAATAGAAACACTGGATAGACCTTGTTCCCATTTGAGTGACGGGAACAAAGTTTGAATTTTTACTCTCCACCTCGGCCCCTTCTTCCTTGCAGACTTCTGCAAGGCTCAACTATTGGTCCTCCTCTTTTCTTTCTAATTTTTTTTATATAACTGCTCCCTTTGGGTTGTATTTTTAGAAAACATGACATTTCTTATTAAGAGACCAAAGAGTTCAGAGTTTGATTTCACATTAACACCTCCCCAAACAAACTGCACTCTCTAGGCAACCGAACTAGAGTTGGATTAAAACAGACTAGATAGGGTTGGTGTGAATGCACCCTGAGATTCAAGCAGCACAGTTTTTATGCGATTATCCAGTCTGACAATAAGGCTGAAAAACGCATCACGACATAGGCATTTCATATCAGTTGATATCAATAATTATTGATCCGCTTTTTGTTTTAAATATCTTAAATTCTGTCGAACTGGTGATCTTATCTTTCCCACTTTATCCACAGTTTCTTCTCAAGCTGTTGTACTCATTTTCTCTCTTCACCCCACATCATTGATTTTTTTATTTTTAAGCAGCTGTGAACTGCTGCTGTGCAGGTTGTTGCTAGGTAACCAAGGAGCGAGTGAGTGAACCTAGCTTAGCTGACTGAGAAGTTAAGCAGCCAAAGCCTTTCCTCTGCCTACATCACCCAGAATGCTGTGCAGTACTAAACATATTATTTACTGATATTGATCACATGTTGTTATTGATCTATAGGGCAGTCCTATATCCAGTTACACATTTGTTAGTTAAATGCAGGGAGAATAAGATGGAAACATGCTTATGTAACAGGTGGAACAGGACTGGTACCAGGAGTAGGAGGAGGTGGACTGGTACCAGGAGTAGGAGGAGGTGGACTGGTACCAGGAGTAGGAGGAGTACCAGGAGGTGGACAATACTCTGCTGCTGCAAAAGCTGCTAAATATGGTACGACTAGTACGCACAAAAATGCAAACTGTGAAAAGTCTGGGATGGTTTTTTAAAGCAACTTTAATTGAATGCAGTTATCAGTGTATCTGTGATTTTTGTACTTTTAAATCTCACTGCAGTATTTGACACTGTGGACCATTGTATGTTTTCATTTTATAGAGTTACAGATTTACTAATTAAATTCCTGTAAAATTAGTTGACTACCTATTGAATCTGGAGTTACAGGTGGTGCTGGGACAGGACTGGTACCAGGAGGAGTAGGAGGAACAGGACTGGTACCGGGAGGAGTGGGAGGAACAGGACTGGTACCGGGAGGAGTGGGAGGCACACAAGGAGGTGAGCAATACCTGCAGCTGCAAAAACTGCTTAATGTGGTACAACTAGTATGCACAAAACTGCAAATACTGAAAAGTTTGGGATATTTCTATATGAATAAGGCAAATCTGACTGACTGCAGTAATCAGTACGCATTTGTTTCCATTTTATCCAGTTACAGATTTACTATTTAAATTCCAATAAAATTAGTTAGCCGCCTATTTGTAGTTTTGAATTAGGAGTTAAAGATGGGGCTGGTATTAGCTAGTATGCTAAGAAGCTTTAGCATATTAGCTAAATATGCTAAAGCCGCTAAATATGGTCCGAGTAGTAACAGAGATTTAAAAGGAGAATAAATACTTACTGTTAACTTTTTTGCTTAGCTATTGATGACATTTTATGAAGATTGGGACGGTTTACAGTTTAAGCCTCTCTAAAATATCAAAAAGATTGTAGATTGAATTAGTAATGGTTACTAATAGATGTGATTAAATCTATTTTAACTGACCCATTCAGTTAACATAGATTTTAACACAAAGACATCAACACCCAACCAACAAAGGCAGACTACATCTTACTAAAGGTGAAATTTCTTTATTATATGAAAATGGGTATCCATAATATTATCTGAACAGATTATTGACGTAACGTTTATCCAGATTTTCTGACTCTCTGAAGTCTAAAGAAAAAATATTTTAATAAAGAGTACACCAATGAATCAACCAGCTGATTGGGATGAATCAGTGCATCCCAATTTCTTTTTATTTTGGCCAACCAAAATAAAACATTTCTGGGGGGAAATGTGGGATTGCACAAAGATAGGTTACAGTAAAATAGGGATATATAACATCTTTATTGAAAAGGTTGGCCAGTCAGAATAAACCCTCATGGATCATATGGTTCTTTTTAGACTCTTAATCTCAGTTTAGTCCCTGAGGAGGAACCGTCAATTTGGACTAATTGACCAATGAGAAACTTACTTGGGCAAACATGACGGCTACATCAATTTAGTCACTGAAAACGGATCCAGCTATTTTATTTTTTATTTTTTGGAATATGGATTCAGAGATAGCTCTTTAAGTGTAAAAAAAAAAAAAAAAAATTTGCAAAGCTATCCTTTTAGTCATAATAACGGCATTACTCTAGCTGATTTCATATTACTGTTAAGCTATAAGAAGTTGTTAGAAGTGCCATGATGAAACACATGCAAAGTAGATTTAAGTTCACAGCTGAGGAAGGCAGGCGTCACTATAAGGGAGACCTGATTGTAGTTGAAATTCAGAACTAATGAAACGGTACAGAATCTCACATACACAGAATTAAGGAAGTGTCGTTTTTGGTGACCTTTGTGCTCCGTGCATCAGGTGTCGGACCTGGTGCGACTCCGGACACGTCCGTCGGCGGCACTGCAAATGGCTCCGTACCGGCCGTGAAACCAGGTGATACTTTAAATCCAGTTTCTGTCATCACTGAAAGACGAAGTTCAAACATCATGGGATTGAAAATGATGCCTTCGTGCTTTTACAGGGAAGGAAGTAGGTGTTGGCGGAACGCCTCAGCCAGGTAGATCAAGTATTAAAACTCTGCCATGAGCATTAGCTGCACAAACTTGCACACGTAAGCTTCAGTAACTGCTGTATCCCATGACCCCTGCACATAAAACTCACACATTGTTTATACTGCTAATGCTGGCAGCTAATGACCTCCTCCAGCTCACAGGCTCCAGCTGTGGCAGTGTTAGGATCCACTTCACAGTTTCTACCTTTTCTGGCCTCTCTCATGCACTGGATGAAACTGGAACCTGTTGTCTTTTCGGCAGGGCCCACTCCTATTGCTGCACTTAATAAGGCCCCAGAGGTCCCACAGCCCAGTAAGACCTGCTGCTTGCCTTAAGCCTCTCCCCAAACTCTGCAATGTGGCTTATTTGTTTTTTCAGTAGATGTTGAATGTCTCATCCATGTTAGTATTTGTGAATGTAAATGTTTCACAGATAAGCACCACTCTCCTCCTGCACTGACAGCATGTATGGGAATGTTTTTAATGGGTTACAGATATTTATAGTCTTTCATTTATTTATTTAGAGTCTGACATGAAATCAGAACAAATCTTTTCTGTTATAGGTCACTAAGATTATTTTAAGAATTATGCCAGAATAAGAGAAGCGTTTAAGATAAAGAAGTCCAGTTTCAAGCTCCCTTTCAACTCCCCCACTCAGCTCCTGCAGACTAGCCAGTAGCAATTAGCAAACACCTGGTGGAATTGCACTTTAGCTGAGCTCAAAATAGCAGCCATTTCTCAGTGTAACACTAGTAAAAACGTTGTTTAAGGCTTAATAGAGGAGCCATGTTGTGATGACTTCCTGAAGGTGGAGTTTCATGAAGAGCAGGAGTTTTTAAAGAGACAGAGTCCCAATTTCAAGTCGTTAAATTACAAAAGTCAAATTTTTATCAAATCATATTTGATATATGCAGCATTTTTAGAAGTAAATGTATATACTGATTCAGTGTCAGACATAGGGGAAAAAGAAAATTGTTTTTTTTTTCATACAGAGTTTGTAAAAATCTGTGTTCAGCTGCTTATGGCCATAGCTTTGTCTAAAATTTGTCCACGTTGTCTGAAATTTTAAATGAATTGAATGCTTTCAAACTAACTTGTAAAAAGCCGGAAATTTCCTGTTTATTGCATGTTTATTGTATTAATTTGTGTTTGTGTAACATAGTTCTAATGTCTTACTTTAGTCAACTCTAAACAGAATGCAGGTTTTAGAATCAGTGGCATTTAACTTGTCAAATAATAATAAATATTATTATTATAATTAAATTCAAAATAATTATAGACAATAATAATAAAAAAAACATTTTATTTACAAGACCCACCGTACTTATACTTTACTTGGTTGACCTAAATAAAAGTCCTCAGAATAAATAATTTTATTGCAGATGCATAATCCCACATTAAGATTTTTAGAATAATTTAACCATGAATTTGAGTTTATTCATTTAGTGCTAAAAATAAATAAATCCAATGTTAAAAGTTCCTGTTAAAGAGAAGCATAAACATTGACAGCCCTCAGAATTCAACAATAAAACAAATTACTTATTAAGTTGTCTTCTATTTTTTAAATTAAATTTAATTATTGTTTATTCACACAGATATATGCGCTCAAATCAGTCTCAAAACTTGCGCAGATGGGTGACTGATCGTTAATTTGGTGAGGCGAATAATAGAACGAAAGAAACGGGAAGAAACCTCAGAATTATATTAGCATTCACAGACAAAAGAAGCAGCAAAGCATCATTTCACATGAATTACTAAAACACTAAACTGCTTTGACCAAATGAAGAACATGCAGATTGATAAATACAAAATCAACAAAAGCAGGAGAAATGATTGCGTTAATCTGTCCCACTTATCGTAGGTATACCACTTCATTTGAAGATGTTCTGCAGACTGTGGATTTTCTGTTTTACAGTTTCATTCAGTCACTTCGATGCACTTCTCACATCATTACTGAGTCGTAGTATATATCATAGTATGACAATTAAATGCTGATATTTAATTATTAGGGTACAAGATGTAGTAATGAGGAGGAGGGAGACTGATGTGTTTTCTCTGTTACATCTTAACGGTCTGTTTGTGTCTGCACTTTTCTTTTTGATAACTTCTCTTCATTCTTTCTCTCTAACATTTCACTTTGCTTCACTGGCTAGCTTTCAAACTGTCTACATGTTTCATTTTCAAACTCACAAAGTGGATTGTGTTCCCTTAATTTCATTTTGTTTGTCTACAGCTGTGTTGATGTGTTCTGACACTGTGGTTATTTCATCTCCGTGTTCAAGTTCAGATAAATCAATTCATTTAAACCTAAAGTTTTAAATGAGACACTGTTTGTGCACTGTAAATCCTCCTACAACATGAAAGTAATTGAACTTGGACATCATTTACTCCAATCTGGTAAATGAATAGATGAAGAAGGCGTAACGTTTTAAAAAATGTGTTTTGATTAACTTTGTTGTTCTTTCTTTTTGCTCCATCTTGTGGTGGCTTCACGAAAACAGGCGGTAGGTTCAGTATATTTATTTTAATTTTTCACTTTATTATATATGACTCCACCTTTTAAAGTAAAATGTTCAACTTTGGCAGTCTCAGGTGGAATCATACAGCCTGGCGGTAAGTGCTTTTGAATGACTCACAATAGTTTGTGTGGCTGCAAGAATATTAGATGCTTTAAATGTGCAAAAAAGTTTGTATGAAATTAATAAAAGTTCCAGAATTGTTTTACTTTTAGGGAACATTTTTTGTAAACTGTCTGCTTGTGCATTTCTGTTACAGGGTGTGTGTGTGTGTGTGTGTGTGTGTGTGTGTGTGTGTGTGTGTGTGTGTGTGTGTGTGTGTGTGTGTGTGTGTGTGCGCGTTTCTAATTCACCATACATTTATTTTTAACATAAAGGCATTGCTTTAACCTGACATTAGTTACATGCTTCATATTAATAATTTATTTCAACCTTGTTTTTCCATTTAGTTGGCACAACTGGTGGACAAGTTCAACCCGGTAAGTTGAGAGGTGATATTAAATCTATGACCACCAGGGGGAGACAAAGACAGCGTTGTAACTCTGTTGTTTTTCAGGTGCTGGAGTCAAACCACCAAAGCCATATGTACCAGGTAAAGATGAGCTCTGCAGTTTTACTGTGGTCCATCTGGGTTATGATTATAAAGTAGAAGCAGTGTAATTCCCCTCCAGGTTTGTTAATTCATGTTATGTAGAACCAAACAATATCCACTAATCTTTTATCTGTTGATAATGAGCCAGCAGAAATATACACTGACTGTTGCAGTGTTCATGTTAAAACTTTAGTTTGAAATCATTTCAGTATCAAAACATTCTTATCAGATGATCAATACAGACTTTTAGCTATCCCTCTTTCACATGCATGGTGCATTACTCTGAGCAAGCAGGTTCTGTCTAGACAACAAATGACCCAAACTGAATCAATAAAAGCAGTTTGTGTAAAAGGAAAAGCTGCATCAGGTCTTTTTCAGCCCAATCAGACCTCCACCGGACTCAACACTCGTTAGATTTTTATTGCACATGCAGCTTTACAGTTTTAGAAATGTTTTTACTTTATTGTCTTTGTGAAATAGCTTGAATGCTAGTGTAGCAAAAAAAGAACAGTATCAAACTAGAACATTTCTGGAAAAAATGTAAACTGTGCCTGCCTAAATGTGCTCATCGGTTTTTTTACCCACCCAGCGTTCTGATGCTAAAAATTAGCATCAATGCTAAAGTAAGCTACAATGAACTCGATAGTATGTGGAGAGTCACAAACATGTTGAGTAACATGGACTTACTGAGGCGCTTCGTTACCAGAAAAAACGGTCATCTCTTAACACCAAATTAATTATTTTTTTATAAAACATAATGTCTTCTGAAATTCTGCTTAGACACAACAAATTAAGAGTTGGTAATTTTGCAAAAGTAAAGTTCAGATGTTTACTTCATGGCTCTTGGTTACCAGGAAACTTGCTCGTCTCTTAGCAACAGATCAACAACAAATATTGTTATTGTTCAAAATCCACAAGATTTCTTCTGCTCTTTTGAAATATTACTTGTCCTCTGCTACTGAAGAATTGTGCAGTTAGTGAGTTTTCCAGAAAAGTGATTTTTTTTTTCTGTCATTGTTGGTGAAAATATTATAAAACAGACATTCAACATAAAAATCTGATTTATACTT